TAGCTAATGTCAACAACGATCCTTCTTCTTATAAGCAAGTGATAAGATCAGCTGAAAGTTCTTTGTGGTTAGAAGCCATCAAGAAGGTTCTCGATGTCAAGGAATCAAGTTTGGGCAACAGTGAACAGGCCTACAAAATTTTCCGATGGTAAAAAGCCGAGCATTATGGACACAAGATGGGGTTTAAAGTAGAAGCGGTCTTTAGATAATGCAGAAATATACAAAGCGCGTTTAGTCATTCAGGATTTCAAAGACAAAAATAACTACCACTTACAAGAGACTTAAGCACCAGTATCCTGAATGGCATTGGTTAGAGCCGTATTAGCAATTATAAATACATTTGATTTGGAGACTGCTCAGTTAAACGTAAAGACTGCATTTTTAAATGGAATGTTAGAGAGGAAATTTATATGGAAATATCCGAAGGTGCAAATTACTCACACAAAATTCGGTGTACAAAAGTCTGCAAACTGCATAAATCATTATATAGTTTGAAGATAAGCCCTAAGAAATGGAATAAGCGTTTTACTGAGACAGTTGTGAAAATCGGTCTCACACTCATCTCACATCTTCATGAACCATACTTTTTCGCGTGGAGAGGAGGAAACGAATTTCTTATTTTACTGCTATATGTAGACGATATAATTATTGGTAGCAATGATTCGGAGGAACTTAACGAAATTAAGACAAAACTTAAGGAGGAATTCGAAATTTCAAATCTTGGAGAGGCTGGAAATTTTCTAGGCATAGATATAGCTGGAAACAGACACTAAAGATCGATGACACTTATTCAAACCAAATACATAGATAAAATCTTTAAAAGATTTAGTTTCGAAAAAGAAACCCCACAATGTACACCTATGGTGTCAAAACAAGTGGCAAATCACAAAAGACAAGATAGCGAAGACTCCTCTGTTAAGAAGCTGGATTTAAATACTGCACTGAAAATGAATGTCCCTTACAGAGAAGCTGTAGGTAGCTTGCTCTATATAGCTAATACTACATGATCCGATATCACTATTACGGTTAATGTACTTAGTCGACACCAATTAAATCCTACTGAGGATGATTGGGCTATGATAAAAAGAGTATTTAGATATCTGATTGTTACGAAAGACCACGGTTTGAACTATAGAGCACGTTTCAGTGCTTTAGAGGCATACTCCAACACTAGCTTCATGGATTTTAAAAATTCGTTAACAACTAGTAGGTACGTGGTTCAATTATTCAGAAACATGGTCACTTGGAGAACACGCAAGCAAAACTATGTTTAGTTATCAACATGTCAGGTCAAATAAGTTGCGATAAGTGAGGCTTGCCAAGAACTCGTGGCGCTAAGTCTTTCGGTGCCTTTCATTTTAAAGCGGTCGTTTATACCAATGAGGCTCAGATGTGATAATCGCACGGCAATAGCCAGTACCAAGACCGGAGGTGGTGGCAAGTTGCAACATATGATTGACGTGCGTGAGCACTACGTAAAAGAATGCGTTACTAGAGGCTTGGTAGATGTGGTGTGGGTAAAATCGGCAGAACAACTTGCCGATATTTTCACGAAGCCATTAACATTCGAGATGCTTAACAATTTGACCCAAGTGATGTTTAACGATAATTAGTTCAGTGATCTCATTCGAAATTTGCATGAATTTAAGGAGGCTTGGGCGATTTTGAATTAAATGCTGGCTAGGTCTGAAATTCAGAGATTATATAGATAAAGTTTGTTAGATTTTTTTAGGAAAACAAAATAGGTAGGTCAACACATTTATTTTTAAGAAAATCGCTTGTGAAAATTCGTCATTTTAACACGCAACCTTAACCCGAAATTCAATAGACTACCGTACCGCAATAAAAAGCTGTGGGCCCACACATTAAATTGGTACATGTACTTGAAAGTATAAAGAATCTATTATTTAAAAAAAAAAATAGAATCAACACGTTAAATTTTGAGAAAATAGCGAGGAAAACATCGAACATGAGAATTGTTTTGTTCAGGTACTGTAAGTGCGCATGCGCTGTACATTCATAAACATACAAGCATGAAAATTTAAGTCTAACACAAGTATAGGTATATAATAGCAGATGAGAGCAAGAGAGTACAGTGTTATCAGCTTTATCGTGGCAGGGCCATCATCTTTACACAAGGTACCTCGGGAAAACTAATAAATTTTTTAATATCGATTTTCCCAATGACTTTTCCGCGTATTATTGCAATTTTGTTTACACATGTGTATAATCAAAATGATTATAAAAAAAATATTACAAAGAATCATTTGTCTGACAAGTACCCCACAGGGGCCCCTCAATAGATACGACACCAAACGCCCAAGCCTCCTTAAGACACATATTTATATTTGCATATTAATTTCTTTTTGTGTGTAAAGGTGACTAATTCGTTAACGGATATTTGGAGGATGACAAAGGTTTATGACCCAGCAAGATTGACAGGGTTCCAGGTCGGATGATTAAATATATCGACATAAAATAAAATGTTGCAAATAGGTAAAATACGTTTATGTTACTTCTATGCACAATTTGCGAGAGTTTTGTAAGCCGTAAAAGGCCGCCAGGCTGGAAAAATTCTCATAGATAAGTCTATACAAGTACACGAAAAAATGGGAAGAAAATTGATAACTTTTTTTAAGGTATTGTGTCACCTTGGAAATAAATAGAATACGTTTCTTATTACTTTAACACATAATCCCTTATGCTTTTTAAGAGGCTTAGGAAATACAGCTTAGGTGACGTAAAGCTTTTCTAAAGAACTGTGAGAATTTGTCATCAATGATCCGATGCACGCGTATCTGCGTGCAACTGAAGAACTCATTATTTTCCAATACTATCAGCCTGTTTTGGCTTGAAAGAATTTGAGTTAAGTCAGTATACGTCTGTGCTGTTTAAATAAACGTTCTGTTACAAAAATTTTGTCTTTTTATTCTGTGCCATACGCACAATAATATTACAATTTATCAACATAAAAAGTAGTATTTACGCGTAAGGAAAAATTTCGAGTATTTTTGAGGGAGCGTGTGCCATCAATATTATTTGTCAAGTGCACATGTAGTGCACGACGAACTTATGATGACTACCGTTTTCTTGCAGTACAACTGACTTTGAAAAGAAGAAAAAGTGCGTTTCCAAAGGATAGTACACAGTTACTGACATTGTCAACAGTGAATTTATAAAAAAGCACTGTGGCTATGACAACTGAGTAGCGATTTTTAATTACTCCTTGAAAATTAATTAGGCATACTTTATTTACATAACTTCGAATTATCAGATTTTTATTGTTCCAGTAAAAATCACCTCAGGCACCTTAATATTCTCTTAGAAACAAACGCTTTCTCTTTATATCTACATCCAGTTCAACCTTATACAACGTCCATGCGCTCTCGCACAGAACCCTGAAGACCCCCAAAATACTCTAGGTCTTCAATCCCTCTTGCTTCCATCGGATGCATCTCCATAATCTCACCAAATAACCGCGACTTCAATCCGTACGCTCCCTTCAGGAGCACCCTTCTATCCACCGTATCCTTTACGTCTTTAACCCTTTACAACACTTAGACTAATCACAAGTACGCTTCCAAATACACAATACCCAGTGGACTCACAGACCTACATACACGCACAATTACGCCAAAATTAAGCTTCTCTAACTCCTGTTCCGGCACAAGCCAAGATTCGAGCTTCGCCCAGATGCGTAAGTGCCCCTCCTCTCATCCCTTTGAGAGCGAACTAGCCTTTCAGTCAAAAATTATTAGCTAAAAATTTAACTATTAATTGTTGCTTTAATTATAGCTATAAAGACCTATATTTATAGATATAATCAACTACAATGTACCTATTAATGTAGCTTATTATTGGCTGTAAAATGTAGGTGTTTATAGCTATAAATTTTGCGCAAATTTAAAAGAAAAAATGTTTCTATATCTGATTTTTTTTTAAGTTATATCAGCCATGAAAGATGATATCATGTGAATAATAACTTAAAAACTGGGGGATTAAATAATTTTCGGACAATATTTTAAACAGTTTATTTTAATAAACGAATGTTTTCCTATTTTTTTTGTTGTTTAAAAGTACTTGAAGCCCTTAGCTTTGGTATGATCATATGGATGATAACACCACTAGTGGCTATCATGTTTACAAAAAAATTAGATTTAGAAACATTTTTTCTTTGAAATTCGCTCAAAATTTATAGCTATAAACACTTACATTTTACAGCTAATAATAAGCTACAATTATAGGTACATTGTAGTTCACTATAGCTATAAATGTAGGTCTTCATAGCTCTAATTAAAGGTACAATTAAAAGCTGAATTTTTAGCTAATAATTTTTGACTGAGCTCCTAAATTTTCCGTCATTTTCCTTCTTTTTTCTTTTCTTATGCCCTTTTGTCTTCTAGGGTAACTGGTCCTCACGGACCTGTCCCATGCGGGGAGGTTAGTTTTTAGTCGGTAGGCACACCGGGTGAATCCGACACTACCACCGAATTAGCTGGGGTGTCTATGAAGATATCCTCCTCCCCGCTATAACAAAAAAACAAAAAAAATCTACATCCAGCTTGAAAAACTTACAATAAACATCCATCAAAGTATAAGAAAAGGCCAAAAAACATGCACGTTTTACTTTGCTACATCGCTTCTTAATTTGGTATTGATGATACAAGTTCGAAATTGTATAAAGTAAAGAGTATTAAATACGCAAGCAATCGATTCTTGAAATTTTTTTATTCTATTTTTTTCATTTAAAAATTTGTAGTCAGAGTTTTTTGGAATTAACATGCATATGTAATATTAAATAATAATAGTGGATGACTTAACAATTAAGATAATAATCACTAGTTAAATTTTAGAAGGAGCTTTTAATGAATGAAGTCAAAGTTACAAATCATTCAGTGCTTTGAGTTCTCCAACAAAATCCAACATAAGCAGCGCACCAAATATAAACTACAGAACGTTTTTCATTCAATACTTCGTTCATCATTATTCAATACTTTGCTTTAAAAACCTTTAATATATCCTTCTTTTACAAGTAATTCATGGATTTTTTTAGTTTTATTTACATCAATTTTCAATAATTGCCTTGCTTCAGCTAATTTTACAAAACCACATTTTTTATTTTCATTCATCAGTAGGAGTTTATAGTTAATGTATGCTTCAGGAACAACTCTAATTACTGAGCAAAGATTTTTTTCATTTGATGATAACTTGTTGTAGCCAAGCAATCCATATACTTTAATTGGTGAAGCTTTTTTGCGACGTGAGAAATTATCTTTATAACAGTTGTACCCAGCTTCTGGAACTGCATTCTTCAATTTAAACTGTGAAAGGCTAATTTTTTTTTTCTCTGCATAAAATTCATTTTGTAACTCAGAAAGTTCTTCAAACAACAAAATACAACTAAAACATTTAATTCCATTCCTTCTATAGTAAAATAGTTTCTGTAAATAAGCACGTACTTCACCAATTTGATTTATGCAATCAACAATATAATCAAATTGAATTCCATTTAATATTTGTGTAAATATACTAAATCTCTCAATGAGTAATTTAGTAACAGATCGATGTAAAGTTGACGTTGTTTTTTGTAATGAAATAAGACCATGTTCTTTAATAATTTTTTTTCTTCTTTCTCGTTCCCTTAGTTTTGTGTTGTAAGCTTCAACTAAAGATATTTGTAGGTTTTGAGCTAATTTATCATGCGAATAGTAAGAAAAATTTTTATACTGTACGTGAGGAATAAGGTGTTCAGCATGGTTATCAAAGTCATACTCAAAATCTGACCTAGCAGCATGATAGCCAGACATTAATTTGTAATTTAAACACTCTGTAGCATATCTTGGTGGATTTTCTGTTTCTTCTACTTTAAACAGGTAAAATACTGGTTCCATACCATAACGATAAGTTACAGTATCTTTTAATACAGGTAGATTCGGTAAAGACTGGTTATCAATGTAACACTGTAGATAATGCTTTTTACAATCATCAGAAGACCTCCCTGTTAGTCTAAGTGATATATCCATCCAATTCCCAAATCCACATTCTTGTATAAGTTTTGTGAGACTTTCTTCTTCTCTAGCACTCCAGTTGGAGGAGCCAATCATTGAAAAACTATTTTCAATAATTGTATAAGTATGATAATTTTTATGGTGTACAGTTTCACGTCCCTTGGCAAAACATGAAATGCATAGAGTTGTAACAGCACAAGTTGTGCAACGAACGTAAGGTTCAGAAACTAAATTTTCACAAGTAATACAAAATACATCTGACGTAAATATTTTCTTTCTCTCAACTGATATGTCAAGCTGCTTACAATGTTCAATACTTGTCATCCAGTCTGAAAGTAAGAAAATAATTACTAACAATACAGAAGACATAACATTGCACACGTTATTTTTTCAGTGCAATAAATTAAATAATTATTTTTTGGACCAATGAATTAGTAAACAAATTTACTATTTTGTTACTCCATAATTAACACTTGATGTTCCTAATCTCATTGTATGTTATGAATAATGAAAATCCTACACAATAAATATTGAACGAATATTTAACAGGTTACACATTCGTGAAACCATTAAATGTACGCTGTTATTGAGAAAACAAGTAAACATTTTAGTTATGGTCATTACGGACGAATATGCAGAATATACAGAAAAATGAAATTTTACTCTATTAATTCAATACTATTACCTTTTGGGAATTGTAATTCTGTGGCATCTTCTTCAACTGCATCAATATTGAGGTGTGACATGTTTATATTCTTGAATATGGCTAATTATACAAACTGAGGAGCAAACAATTAGTTTATTTCTAGGTTTTACAGCACTATTTTCGGCAATTTTCTTAAGCACTGCGTAAGATCGCGGTTACACCATAGAGATCTCTATGGGTTACACGGCTGCGGAAGCAACCAACGGAACGTCACTGCGTCAGAAAAAAAGGTTCCCCCACTATCAGGGTTTAGCAAGTGACGCTTCCGCTTCCGTTGGACACAAAGTGCATCGTGCACATGGACGCGGAACTGTACGTTGCATCAGAGTAGCAGCCAATGGTCATGAAGAGTTCAAGCGAGAATAGTTTGATATTGTGAATTTAATCAAAATTATTATCGGATGACTGTAATTTTTTAGCATTTACTGACAGCTAACACTGCTATTGAACCAAGAGCCAAGGCCGAAGGGTGGTCAAAATTTTAACCAGCCGCCACTCTCACCAGAATTGAGAAACCTTACTATTTATAAAGATCCTCTGCTCTAAGCTTTTGGTCTATATAAGTACAATTACACGTGAAAGTATCAAGAAAAACATGGTTATTACGTTAAATTAATATTTCGTTGACTTCCGTCGATACGTTACGCCGAGCTCCGCATCCACGTGTGTGTTTGTGTCTAATGGAAATAAAAGCGTCACTTGCTAAACCGACGATGGGGGAACCTTTTTCTCTGACGTAGTGACGTACGTTCCGTTGGCTACTTCCGCAGTCATATAATCGCTATAGACATATAAAAAATAGACTGCTCGTTCTTGTGTACGGCGCTGAAGTCTCACCTGTGGCCATGTGCGAGAGAGACAGATATTCACGTTCAATGTTGTATCTCCTTCTACTTCTGCTTCAGCGCCGTACATAAGAACGAACAGTCTATTTTCCTTATATGTCTATAGTATCCACGGTAGAACAGAACCAGAAAGCTAAAAGCATGAGCAATACGTTTGTTCAAACTAATTCTCAGGGAGGCTAGAAGAGACTTGAAAACTCTGGGAGGCTCTGAGAATATAATGAACTAGCGGGCCCCCGTCTCGGCTTTGCCCAATACTTATTAAATAGAACACCGTTGTGTTGACATGTAATGTGAAATGCTTTCAGTTGAAAATTTTACATCTATTCCTGACACTTCTCAGCATAGAGATATAAGGATAGAGTGCGCGAATTATACTAATGTACGTAAGGGGGAACAATACGGTAAAAGAAAGAGATGGTCGCTGAGTGTCCTCTCCATCTCACTATCTCAGACTTGTGAAGTTGGCGCCCGTAAATATTAAATACTAATATTTTGCACCTATTCAGGGCTTAAACGATTCCTCCTTACTTGCGGATTTATCCTCCACTTCAATTTTTATTTGCCGATAAATAGTTTGCGAGATATTTGCAAAATAAAAAGTCGAAAATGGGCGCGGCGCTGAAGTATAAAAAACTTTGTTTTAAGTGCTAAATTGGGTTAAAATCCAATTCTACCTGTACGATTCGATTCCTCCTCATTTGCAGATTACGGAGGTATATAAATTAATGTAATTAAATGTCACAAAGTTTGTAAATGATGAATTTAATTATTGAGTGAGAGAATCTAGTAACTTTTGTCTAGTGACTTTTGGTCCAATGCTCTGTTCCTGTTGTTCGGTACATGTCGCTTACTCCTTACAGCGGGTTCTACAAAATATTTATCGGAATAGAAAACTTTAGTAGGTATTAATCTATTAATTATCAGTTATAAGTTATTCAGCCTTCGGGTCAATACACACACACACATACATTACATACTTCAAGCTCAAGGAAAAATTTATTTGTCAATAGGTACAGATTTTTCATCTTAACAATCTAATATCTGGAATCTGTTGTGGCAAATACTGTGGACTGATATTTATTCATTACACTCGAAATTTTAATGTTTGTTGTTATTCAAGAAACAAATAACAACACAACTAAAAAGTAGCAGCACAGCTATAATCATCCCAAGACAAGCCACAGCTAAGCACACAAGTAATAATTTTGTTTGGACAAGTTTTAGAAAACGGCTCAAGCATTCAAATTTCGCGCGTAAATAATCAATCAGGCAAATTGAAGATCAAGTTACCGACCAGTGGAAACGGATCAAAGTGACACAGGCTGTGTTCGCCTAAGGCTTTGTTTGTTATTAGGTTTGTTAAGGTCACGTGATCATTTATCATAAGTGCGAGGGAGACAGCATGATATCAACGTCTCACTCGCACTAATCATAAATGATCACGTGACCTTAACATACTACAAACGGAGCCTATGCAAACACAGACCCAGTAATAAATTAACAAGTACTTAATTTTAAAAAATGTTTATTGAATGGGCTTACACTAGATTGCATAGTCATCAAAAAATATGTGTTTGTGTGTGTGTGTGTGTGCTGTGTAGGCTGAATAACTTATAACTGATAATTAATAGATTAATACCTACTAAAGTTTTCTATTCCGATAAATATTTTGTAGAACCCGCTGTAAGGAGTAAGCGACATGTACCGAACAACAGGAACGGAGCACTGGACCAAAAGTCACTAGACAAAAGTTACTAGATTCTCTCACTCAATAATTAAATTCAACATTTACAAACTTTGTGACATTTAATTACATTAATTTATATACCTCCGAAATCCGCAAATGAGGAGAAATTAAATCGTACAGGTAGAATTGGATTTTAACCCAATTTAGCACTTAAAACAAAGTTTTTTATACTTTAGCGCCGCGCCCATTTTCGACTTTTTATTTTGCAAATATCTCGCAAACTATTGATTCGCAAATAAAAATTGAAGTGGAGGATAAATCCGCAAGTAAGGAGGAATTGTTTAAGCCCTGAATGGGTGCAAAATATTAATATTTAATGTTTACGGGCGCCAACTTCACAAGTCTCTCCATCTCTTTCTAGCTGAGCACTGTGATTGGCTGCTGCTAAAGGGGGTATTCTGGCCGTCAGCGGCGTAACTGACATATGTTATTGCCTCTTAAGCATCAGCCAATCACACCGCTCGGGTAGAAAGAGACAGAGAGGACACTCGGCAACCATCTCTTTCTTTAACCGTATAGCTGTATTCAGCCTCTAGCGCACTCTATCCTTATATCTTTATGCTTCTCAGAATAAAAATCTTCTTATTAAAAACGTATTTGTTAGGAATTCATACAATTTATTCGGTCAAATAATAAGCTGTAAAAAGTGAAAAAAATATAATTACGTTTGAAAGTACCATGCATTCCTTTTATGCCATAAAATAATCGTTGGCCCTCGATGCAAGGGACCTTGATTTGCAGTCTCTCCCTTATCATCTACAAAGAGGGCTATTTTTTGAAGCTGTTGAGATTTTTAACTCCTAAAAAATAAATATTAGAAAAAAAATTTTTTTCTCTTACCTAACAACTTTATTACCGAAGCCACAAAGTCCTGGAGCTTAAACTCTACATTTTTTATTGCCACAAAAATACTTATACATTTTCTACTTATTTAAAAATCTGAATTTAGATCTGTATAAAGATTTAAGCGATTACAGTGAGGATACAAAGAAAAGCTGATCGCTCACGTAATGGATTCTTTGTTTGTCGATTTTGACGCTACTGTTCCAATCTCGATAAATTTTATGTGTCAGTTTCTTAACGCCTAAAATTGTATTCATTAGATACGTTTAAAGTTTTCCTTCCAATTCACCCTCTTGCGACTATTGGCATGCTTTACGACTTTTGTGACCCCTAAAGGCTGTTTTATGTCAACTTTATTAAGTTGTAATGTATTTGTTGTCAAGGTATAGTTTGATATCCGATTTGGCCCTAAAATTTTAAAAGGATCAGTGAGCTAAACTCTTGTTAGACTGAAGTTTCCAGCAAACGCGGTTGCTTTTCTACCTCAGGGTATCTTCTCTGGCCTGTTATTGTAGCACCACACCGTATGTTTATCCGCGTCAAATTCTTTATGACTATTGAATTCGAGCAATAAATTGAATTTCGATTCGTTTATTGGTCTATAACGAAGTAAAATGAAGAGTAACAAGCAACAATTTGACTTACAAGTCGTTCAGCAGAAGAGGCGATTCAGCAAAAAAATTAAAAGCCAAACTAATATAAGGAACTATGCAGAGAGTGTCTCTTGCAATACAACGTAAGAAACAATTCACGTTCATGCAATTAAGTAGCTATGAGGAAGCGGCTACTTTCTATCCACTAGACGACCAAGCGAGGAGAAGACCGATCAGCTCGAGTCGCGAAGGCCGGTAGCTCAGCGTATATAGGCTTAAGTCAGACGAGCGGGGGCGAAGCACACATGAGTGAAATCAACTACTCATGTAAATACAATCAAATACTATAGTAAAAATAATGCGTGTGCCGCTCCCCACCAGTCAGTAGCCGACTGGCTCTTCTTATCTGAACATACCGCCAGCTTTGACGCAACACACCGTCAACAAAAAATTCAAAGCAAATAAACTGTTTAATTGAATAAAGACTAATTATAACTTGAGCTGATAATTTCAAACAATGTAAATTCAATGAATTGCTCATTAGAGCCGATCGCTTTCAGCAATTTCGCAATAAGCAATAAATTATTTTATTAACGCCCATGTAAAAAAATAAAAGGAAATTATAATAATAATATTATTGATGATAAATCATCTGATTTCTGATGCCAAATCATCGGCTGATTTTTTGACTGTGCGAAAAAATACAAGTCCCGAGGGAAAATTTTTTTTTTTGGCATCATCAAAACTATATGCATTCTGAGACTTTTACAGTAGAATGAGTAGGTGACGATTGTGAGTTTTAAATAATTTTTGATAGCCAAAATTAAAAGTTCCGTGCGCTAAAAAAGTATAAGTCCCGTCAGTGTGACGAAATATGCGTCCCGACGGAAATTTTGTTCCTTTGCCATCATCCAAACGATGCGTTTTGGGACATTAAAATGAGATGGGTGAAAATTGAGAAGTTTAAAAAATGTTTATCTGTCACATTCTGTTGTAAATTTCCCAAAATGCAAACTTTTGATGTTCCAAAATGTATTTTCTTTTTATTTGGAACTTGTATTTATTGGCACTCATGAGACTTAAACTATTTTTAGCGCACGAAACTTGTAATTTTGGCTATCGAAAATTTTCCAAACCTCTCAATTTTCTCCATTTTACGCATATTAAAGTATTAA